GGAGCCTATTTGTCCCTTTACCATAAGTAGTCTCCCACTGTCGTCTGCCTCATGGGAATGGTATGTAAAGGGAAGTTTTGCCGATATCAGTATCGCCACCCCTCTAGACTTAGCCTGTGTGTAGTCACTGAAGAAGCCATGGGGGTACCTATTGTCCCTGAGGGAGGGGGCGTTATGTTTCCTAAAGTGGGTTTCCTGCAGGAAGGCCACATCGGCTCTGAGCCGATGTAATTCCATCAGGGTTTGTGTGCGCTTCTCCGGTATATTTAGTCCTCTTACATTGATCGTACATATCCGTATCTGCTGTGCAGGTGTGGCAGTCGCTGGTGTCTGTGCCATTGCTTTCAGTGGTCGTATAGTAGTCAGCGGTAACTGTGTCGTGTAACAATTTCAGTAATATATAACAACAGATGTGAGTATGAAATAGAGAGAAAAACAAAAAGAACAATAACTATATACAGTTGCGATAATAACGTACTAGGTTTGGTAGTATTAAGTCAGTCGACGGTGTCTGACCCAGTCTAGGGGGGCCTATCTAGATGGGGTCTTTTTTGGCACCGCACAGTCAGTGGTTACTTGACTGTTGTCAGATGTTGGTCTGATACTTCTGGGGCATGTATAGCCGTCTCTCAAATAGGCTATTTACCCGTCCGGTGGGGATGGACAGATGGGGGGGGGTTTCAGTCGCTAAGGTTCCGAGTCCGGGAAAGGCCTCATCCACTCTATATTTGTTTTTGTCGCTAGTGGGCTTACGTATGCAAGGTAATATACATAATCAGTATCTGGGCCAGTAGCACCAGAAGTAGGCATTTAGCTGCTAAAACATATCAACAGTCATATAACAGAAAATTCACATAAGTCATTAACATTCCCCAGGAGATTTTTATCTCTCAGTGTCTCTTTACTCCCTATGTGGTTAGCTCGTTCGAGCATGATGGAGAGTTTTGAGATTCACAGGTAGCAGTAAGGTGGGGTATACATATGACCTTTCTATTAGAAAGTGAATAGGAGTAAAAGTATCTAGCCCAGAGCGTCTAATCGGTCAGGTGGCGTCGGGGACACGGGCACCCAGCCGGATGGCCGCCTCCCCAAGACCCCTTCATTCCTACAGAGATGTAATTCACGTGGCCATATGGGTGTTGCTGTTACTATGGCCCCTGGGCTTTAGCTAATGTCATCAGTGCATATGCATATTGAAAATACTTGCGGTTGTCGAACCTTACTATTTGAGAGATAGGATATAAGTATCCAGCCCAGAGCGTATATCCGGTCAGGCGGCGTCGGGGACACGGGCACCCAGCCGGGTGGCCGCCTCCCCAAGACCCCATCATTCCTACAGAGCTGTCACTCACGTGGCCATATGGGTGTTGTAGTTACTATGGCCCCTGGGCTTTAGCTAGTGTCATCAGTGCATATACATATTAAAAATACTTGCGGTTGTAGACTGAGTTCGGTAGCGTTAGGGGCGCGGATCCCCGTAGGGAAAGAGGGGAGCCGCCCTCCCAAGGCTCCGCTACCCGTAGTAGTCCAATTGTTCACTGGGGTGAGGAGCGTGAGGAGTATTTGCAGCAAAAATGCTAGCGGTCTTCTGAAGTTACTGTTTGTTCATGTTGTGCGTTTGTTTGGGAGTGTGGAGATCAGTACATATCTGTGTGGGCTCCCCTTGGCGTGGACGCCCTGGAGAGTGCTTGTTCTGGCCTCCGTCTTTTCGGCGTTTGTTGCCATCTTGTGCGTTGTTGTAGTGGTTCCCTCTGCATTGGTTGTGGCAGTCCATACCAGTCGGGTACTCTTGTATCCGGTAAGTCCAGTGCTTGTAAAAAGATGGGGACATCGTGAGTGGAGTTGATGGTAAATACTTTGCCTTGGTGGTTAACACTTAGCGCCAGTGGGAACCCCCATCGGTAGCTGATGTTGCGTTGGCGTAGGATGTCTGTTATAGGTTTGAGAGTCCGTCTTGCCTGCAGCGTCAGCCAGGATAGGTCAGGGTAGATCGAGATTGGAGCATCTTTATATAGTAGAGGCTGGGAGGCTTGTCTTAGTGCTTTGAGTATGTCATCCTTTTGGGAGTAGTAGTGCAGACGGCATATTACGTCTCTTGGCTTGTCCGCTGGTGCACCTCTGGGGCGCAACGCTCTATGCGCCCTATCAAACATGAGTGGTGTATCGGCTTGTTTTCCCATGAGGAGATTAAATATTTCTTGCAGTACCTCTGTTAGATTTTCTGTGTCCTGTTCAGGTAGCCCTTTTAATCTGAGATTATTTCGTCTACCTCTGTTATCCAAATCATCTAATGAGCGCTGTATAGCAAACGCCTGTGCAGAATGTGCTTCCATAACAGATTGCAAGTGTGACACTTGGAGTTGTATTGCATCCCTGTCGTCCTCCAGTGCACTCACTCTATCTTTAGTATGCCTTATATCAGCTCCCACACTTTCCAGTTTAGACTGAAATGCAGCTTCTAGTTTCCCCAGCATATTGGCTATGTCCTGCTTAGATGGTAGATTTTGTAATATTCCTTTCAGGTCTGGGTCTTGTAGTACCAGGGAGCCTGTAGATTCAGCTGGGCTAGAGGTAGGGGATGTAGTGCCTGGCGAGTCCGGCGCCATATTGGGGCCTACCATGCTTTCGTGAGCCTCCTTGGAATCCCTGAAATATTTTGTCAGGGCTCCGGTTTTTGCTGCCACTGACCTCCCTGTCGTTCTCTGGGATGAGGGCGTGCGTTTGGGGTGTCCCATGTTTAAATGATAGCCCGATGTCCGCGGATTGAGTGCCTTTCTCGCCGGAGCTCTGCTACTGTGCTGCCATTCCGGTCGCAACATTTACATTTTCAGTGGTCCAACACATGCTTCATTTTGTGCTCTAACCGAACCTTTTTATTGCTACAGATGCTTTAAATGATTCAGCTACTGCATATGTTTTGTGTCTTCTATGTCTCACATTATATGTGTTCTTTTAAATTGTGGTATGTAGCCTGAATCAGAGATCATGGACAAAGGTTTCTACCTGTGTTACTAAGGCTCTTGGAGACTGACCGGTCTAAGGTTTGCCATGCCTTTTAACATGATATAGTATAAAAAAAAAATGTTTAAGTCTCTGAGAGTTCTGAAAGATTCGGGTGAAACCATGTCTGTGTAATCTGGTCCAGATGTTTGCACAATTTCTAAAAGATTTAAGTTGATGCAGCATCATCTCAGATTAGTTAATGGAAGTTTCATACAAATATTTGAGTTATGAGCGTGCTATATAAATGGATCCTTTCTTTATATACAATACTATAGTAGATTAAAGTAATGAAGTTAATTAAGAAAAAACATGTATACATAAGAATCCCTAAAATAAATCTAATACAAACTAAAATTGGTATACCATACAATAATATGTTCTGAGTACAGCTGTTAAAGGTTTATTCTGTGTAAATGGTGATTATGATAATGTGTGAATGTGCAGCTTAACTGGAAAGTGGTTTAATTTATATGTTGCTGTGTTGTTTTAAATTATAGTTGAATCAGTTTATCTCAGTCTAGTGATACTGACAAAAATGCCAGTCAAATAACCTAGCAAATAACTGTTTTATTAGCAGTTGAATACTAGCGTTTTGGCCAAGAGTAGTTGGAGTTGGAGTAGTTCTATCAGCTCACAGAGGCCCTGTGTTGTGGTCTGATATAGCTATATGGGAATGGAGATTTGGAGGTGTTAGTTTAAGACTGCTTTCATATTGTGTCTACCCGTGTTTTCCTAGGAGGGACACAGAGTGTGTAGTTGCGTGCCCATGAATGTGTTTTCTGTATTGGCATATCTGCTGGGTATCCATTATGTGTTTTCTACTACGTCTGTTTTGTGAGATGTCTGTTTTGTGAGATGACATGTAATATTACATTGGATGCTGAGTATGAGTTATATGGTTTGAAATGAATTGGTGTGTTATGTGTTTCATGTATTTTATTGTCCATTGTGTAGGAGTTTAACTAGCAGAGTGATTTGCATATCATTAACACAAGCATTTAGTGTTTTTACAAAAGGTGAAATGCTGTCCAGCCGGCTAGAATGAAACAATTGTATCCTATCGCTCCTGGAGCAAGAAAAGCGCTTGTTACATCCCACGTGAAAGGGGCCCCGCAAACTTCTGCTGTTCAAATCGTGGATCCACGTTTCCATTTGCAAACCGATTAATCCTGAAAGTCATTCTTTTACTGATATAAAGGATTGAATGGACAAGATGTCTCTCCCTCATAAAGGAGTTCTAATAGGGGAATATTGTCCAGCTCAGAGTTATCTCTACTTTTAAAGTATATTGCATTGTTTGTGTCAAAGTAAGATTCATCTAGCATGCCTCATTGATTATGGGGTAATAATAAAATTGTATTTTTAATAGAGATTAGACAATTTCTGAAATTTATAACTGAGGTAATCTTAATCTCCTAAACTACTGTATTATATTTGTATGGGTAAATTGAAAGCATTTTGCAGATCCAGAAGAGGATTAATAAATAATATAATAATCTCACTAGAAGCCAAATTATGCAAAGAGGCTATCCAAAGTACGCACTAACGGGTTAAACTTGTTTTCTTGATAAGCGTATAACATTTAGTTTTGTGGTTAGACTTTTGATACTCAATTTGAAATATGTCCCAACTACATCCTTGCACGGCACCAGGTACAGGAAGCAATATGCGTTTTAAAAATTTGCAAAGTCTTAGTGTTTTCAATATATTATAACAATGGAAAAGTACCTAACCGCATGTCTGCATTACGCTCATGACACAGACTGTCGGTATTGCAAGCCCTATATGAAGGCTATGATTTCATTGTCGATGTATATACCCCTAGACAACCTTGCTTTATATACACAATTAAACTATCCATTAAACCTTTAAAACCTTATTAATATTATATCTGTGTGGTACACAAAGAGGGGGTGTGAGTTCGGTAATCCCGACCTGCATATGGAATATGCTTCCTCCTTGTTCACTTTTGTTCCTTGTTGGTCTGTGACTGGCCCTTTTTGACCCCGAATGAATTTCTTGGGAAGATTCATGAGAAAGATACAGCAGGTTGTTTTGATAGAAAGAAAGAGGGAAAAGGTATGTTGTATCAGTCACAAGGATTGTGATCCTAAGCAGGCGAGACAAAGAAATTTGGGAGGTGATAGGAGATTGAATCAGAAAAGTTTTAAAGGCAGAGGTAGAGGATTTGGTCAAAGGGTCTAACTTTTGTAGAGGTAGCAACTTCAGCATTGGTGGAACACACTGTTCTAATTGTAGGATAGCAGGGTCACTGGAAAAATGAGTGGCCAAACCCACCCCCACAGATTCCTCAATAAAAAACCACAGCTTCCAACCTATACCCACACCCAAGAACCCCAGCCTAATACACAGATGGTTCATGTTTTTAATATTTTATATAGTTTTAGGTGTTAATCAAAGAGTATTGAATTATTCTGTATTATTAAAGTAATTAATTTTGAGTATCAAATCAAGGTTCAAGTTTAGGAACAGAGTTTTATTGGGAATGTATATGTATATGTTAGTGTTTTAATATTCATCCTAACAAGCATTTCTATAGAGTGAGTGCTTCTCTCATCCGTACAAAGGCATTCCAAAGGGGTATTATGTAAAATTTCATAGAAGACAGATTGCATAAAATATAAGCAAATATAAGAGAAGTACATGTTACACAAGTTAAGGGTTTAACCCTAATCTCTAAATTAAGTTTTAGCCTAGGTATTATTATTATTATTATTATTATTGCCATTTATATAGCGCCAACAGATTCCGTAGCGCTTTACAATATTATGAGAGGGGATTTAACTATAAATAGGACAATTACAAATAAACTTACAGGAACAATAGGTTGAAGAGGCTCAATCGAGCTTAAATTCTATAGGAGGTGGGGTGTAAAACACAGTAGGACAGGAATTTGCAATCAAATAAGGTGGGCTGCCCTTTAGGAGAGGGCAAGAGACAGGTATGTGAGGTAGGGGTTAGTCTTGGAGGCCATAAGCTTTCCTAAAGAGATGGGTTTTAAGGCACTTCTTAAAAGATGCAAGACTAGGGGAGAGTCTGATGGCGGTAGGCAGGCTATTCCATAGGAAGTGAGCTGCCCGCGAGAAGTCCTGCAAGTGCGAGTTGGCCGTACGGGTGCGGACAACGGACAGGAGGTGGTCACGGGAAGAGCGGAGAGACCGAGAAGGGACTAACTCACACCAGGGCTTTATAGGTGTGAGTTAGTGCCTTGAATTGACTCCTATAGCACACAGGAAGCCAATGTAGGGACTGGCAGAGGGGTGAGGTGTGAGAGAACCGACTAGAGAGGAAAATCAGTCTAGCAGCAGCGTTCATTACAGACTGTAGGGGTGCAGTACGGCTTTTGGGAAGACCAAGCAGGAGAGGGTTACAATAATCCATGCGGGAAATTATTAGAGCATGGACAAGCTCCTTGGTAGTATCTGGTGCAAGAAAGGGGCGGATGCGGGCTATGCTTTTAAGATGGAATCTACAGGATTTGGCAACATGCTGGATGTGAGGCTCAAAGGTGAGACCAGAGTCAAGTGTGACGCCAAGACAGCGCGCTTGCAAGGATGGGCTGATGTTGGTACCACAAACTTGAAGGGAGAGCGAAAGAGGAGGAGGAAAGACAAGGAGCTCAGTTTTTGAGAGATTGAGTTTCAGAAAGCGGGAGGACATCCATTCAGAGATGGAAGAAAGGCAAGCAGTGACACGTTGCAGGACAGCAGGGGAGAGGTCCGGGGAGGAGAGATATAGCTGGGTGTCATCAGCGTACAGGTGGTAGTGGAATCCAAATGAAGTAATAAGTTTGCCAAGAGAGGCAGTATAAAGAGAAAATAGAAGGGGACCAAGGACGGAGCCTTGGGGGACTCCAACCGAGACAGGGCGAGGGGAGGAGGTATCATTGGAAAAAGAGACACTGAATGAGCGTTGGGAGAGATAAGAGGAAAACCATGAGAGGACAGAGTCACAGAGACCAAGCGATTGCAGAGTTTGAAGAAGGAGAGCATGATCAACGGTGTCAAAGGCCGCCGAGAGGTCAAGAATAATTAGTATGGAGTAGTGGTCTTTGGATTTAGCTGCGATTAGGTCGTTAGTAACTTTGATAAGGGCAGTCTCTGTAGAGTGGAGAGGGCGGAAGCCAGATTGAAGGGGGTCAAGGAGAGAGTTGGAATTGAGGAAATGAGACACACGGGTAAAGACAAGTCTTTCCAGAAGCTTTGAGGAAAAAGGGAGCAGGGATATGGGACGGTAGTTAGAGGAGGTGGACGGGTCGAGGGATGTTTTTTTTAGTATAGGTACTACAGTGGCATGTTTAAGGTCAGCAGGGACGATGCCAGAAGAGAGCGAGCAGTTGAAGATGTGTGTTAGAGAAGGCACGAGACAAGTGGAGAGAGATCTGATAAGGTGAGATGGGACAGGATCGAGGGGGCAAGTGGTGGGGTGAGAGGAGAAAAGAAGAGCAGCCACCTCTTGGTCAGTGGCTGGGGAGAATGTCTGAAGGGTAGGGAAGACATGATCTATGTGTGATTGAGAAACAGAAAGACAAGGAGGGGAGAATTCTTTCCTTAGCTGTTCAATTTTGTCAGTGAAGTAACATGCAAAGTTATCAGCAGTAAGGTTGGTTTGGGGGGTGGCCACAGTGGGGCGAAGAAGAGAATTAAAGGTGTCAAAGAGACGCCTGGGGTTGCGGGAACATGAACTAATGAGAGAGGAAAAATAGGACTGTTTGGCAAGGGCAAGGGCTGCACTGTATGAACACAATATGAATTTATAGTGGAGATAGTCTGACTGGGTGTGAGACTTCCTCCAGGAGCGTTCGGCACAACGGGAGCATCTTTGCAGGTAGCGCGTTGATTTAGTATGCCATGGTTGGGGGCGGGTCCTCCTTGAGGTGCTTGTTTGGAGTGGCGCTGCAGTGTTCAAGGCAGATGTAAGAAGAGTTATATATGGAGATGGCCAGTGAAGGACAGGAGAGGGAAGGGATGGACAGCAGTTGTGAATCAATGTCAGCTGACAACTGTTGGAGATCAAGAGAATTAAGGTCCCTCCTGAGTTGAGGGTGGTTAAGCGGAGGTTGTTGGGTGAAGGGGTACGTTAGAGCAAATGATAAGAGGTGGTGATCAGAGAGTGGATACGGAGTGTTGCAGATATTAGATACAGTACATGCATAAGTGAAGATTAGGTCAAGGGTATTGCCAGCTACATGGGTGGGAGAATTTGCCCACTGTGATAGCCCGAGGGAGGAAGTAATTGAAAGTAGTTTATTGGCTGCAGAGGTCAAAGGTGGGTTTATAGGAATATTGAAGTCCCCGAGAATTAGGGATGGGATGTTAGAAGAGAGGAAATAGGGTAGCCAGGCAGCAAAGTGGTCAAGGAAGAGAAGAGGGGAACCAGGGGGACGGTAAATAACAGCAATGTTAGCAGAGAAGGGTTTGAAAAGGCGAATTGAGTGTATTTCAAATGACGGGAAAGAGAGGGAAGGGGGGGTGGGAAGAGGTTTAAAAGAGCAGTGAGGGGAGAGGAGAAACCCAACACCACCACCTTTACATTCAGAGTTTCTTGGGTTGTGGTTAAGTTGGAGACCACCGAAGGACAAAGATGCAGGGGTGGCAGTGTCAGACGGGGAGAGCCAGGTTTCTGTTAAGGCTAGTAAATCTATTGAACGAGAGATGAAGAAGTCATGGACAACAGTGGATTTAGTTATATTGCAAACAGAGCGTGCGTTCCAGAGGGCAGTTTTTAAGGAGGGTTTAGAGGAACAAGAGATGGGTATGAGATTAGTGTGGATCCTTGGGTTAGTATGTGCTGAGTTTGTTGAGAGGGGACCGGGGTTTGGAGAGACATCACCAGCTGCTAGGAGCAGAAGGATAGAAAGGAAGTGAAGGTGGGAGTAGGATTTGAAAGTTTTGTAGGAGGTTATGTATGTAGAGGATTTGGAAAGAGTTGGTAGAGATAGGCTGGAAAGGTATGTGTAGAGTGCATGGGATGAATAGAGAGAGGAGGGGAGTAAGGTGGAAGTGATGATGATGGTGTTGCCAGGGACAGGTGAGTGAAAGGATAGGGATATTTTAGTAATGACAGAAATTTGTGTTAAAGTGAAAAATAGAAGGGAGAACATTAGAGGAAATGTGTATCATATAGATATGTAGATCATATATACAAACACACACATATATCAATGAGTGTTTAAACCATTGTAAGGATGCAGTGTGTTAAATTAATTCAGGTGAGGAGTGGTTTAATGAATTGATTGGTGTGTTATGGAAATCTGCTGATGTGCACTATCTATAAATGAGTTGATGACCGTGGGGAGGGGTGGGTGGGCAATCTTCCAGAGATGATACCTCTGCTCTGAAGATTCAGCAGGACTTGGTTGCTTGGGAGTGCTGGGTGTTAATGCTGTTTTAAGGGGCCCAGTCTCTGCTCTGAAGATTCAGCAGGTAATTAATTAATTGATGTTGTATTGATCCTTGTGTTTGTATGATTGTAGAGACCGTCCTGGAGTATTTGTGCCGCCTGATTTCTGGACTACACACAAATCTCTCTGGCTGACCATGCAATAAGTATTTTGCAATTACATCTGTTTGGTCATTATCCATGCAGGCCGAAGAAACTGAGATACTTACTTATGAGGACATAAACTTTGCACGTAAGAACCTGGAAAGTCCTGAAGGTGCAGTGCTGTCTAATACCGCTGGTTCTGTAATAACCCTTTCAACCATTGGGGTGTTGCACAGAGCATTGTGGTGAAAATCCAGCAAACAAAAGAAGAACTATGTGGAAGCTGACATTGTCTTGTTGTCAGCCATATTGCTACCCTTAGCCATTTTATGGAACAAAATGTCTGGTGTCTAAACTGATTTCTTTATACTCTGTGAAAGACTTATTCTATTTTTCTGAACTATGCTGAACTATTGAACTATTTTTATTTAGTTAGCCAGAGAGAGGAAGTGTTAGCTGACCCAGGGATGGATGTACTATGTGTGTTTTTGATATATGTTGAGTGCGCCAAGGATGGATTCCCATGTTTTAAGGAACTGCGTGAGGATATGACGGGTTTTGACTGGACCTTTGGAATAGGGAAATGGTTAAAAGGTATAGGACACAAGGTCCTGGTTGTGATTATTGTCAGAATTTCAAGCTAGACTATAATTTATCTAATTAATTAATATGTAAGAAGTGTTTCCCAATTCCTCCCGATACCCGAGCTATGTACTCACAGTTACGGGTATTATAAGTCATAAGTGGTGTTAACCTTGAGGGGATGACCTGTCTAACACGATCGCGGCCCCCACTCAAGTTTTCCCCAGATGTGCTTTTTCCTCAAATATGCCACTGGATTTTTTTCCTGGCCCCAGATCATCAGGTGGACTGGTAATCCTAGACCCCGGTCCTTGGACGGGGGATAGGTATTATTCCCACTTTGACTATATGCACCCACTTCCGTGGACAAAGGAGGAAAACAACTGTTGGGAATAATACACTTTGCCCATATTTACCCGGGGCTTATGATACAGATGACAGACTGGTTAGTCTGTTTAAAATTGGTTAACATGTCAGCTATTTGCAATAATATATTTGCTATAAGCTCAAGTTCCATTTTGTCTTAAATATCCATTTTCTATATATCTGTCTGTAAAAGTATTAAGTGTCTTTTTTCCTGCTGAGTTTCTGTTTCTTGTAGACCACATGATTGCTTAGGAATACCATAATGTGGAAGTGTCTCTGTCCTGGGAAGATTTTAACCGATAAGATGAGCAATGTATTGCTCAAAGAGGGGGATGAAAGCTGAAATAGTTAACTTTCCTTGTTCATATGTATTTTATGCTTAGATAAGGTTTATAATCATTAGTACTGACTGTAAGGATATGAAATAGTTAAACTCTTTCTTGCTTTAAAATAATGTTTGAAATAATTATGCTGACTTTGGCAGATGTATTTTGTACCAAGGTCTTCCTTCTAGAGGATGTGCGACCTTGCTCGACCTCAGGATGCTCCTGTCCTGTCTTTATTCAAATGCTTATCTTTTAATGTCAGACAAGTATGTACTAGTAACTACAAGGACACTATAAATCTTGCTGCTTGCGTGGCATACTGTGTTTAAATGCTTGCCCTGAAAACACACTCATTTGAGAATCTTGTTAAAGCACATTTGTGGTGTCTGTGTCTTTATTGCTAACACTGATTCTCCATCAATATTGATTATGGTGACCAGAGAATCGAGAATCGAGGGGGGCTGAGTCCAGAACAGCATTAACCCTTTCATTACTACGCCTGCAGATATCCCTATGTTCCAAAAAGAA